GACCAGGAAGATACAACCTTGAAGAAAACAGAATCATATAGTAAATCAGGTTTCATAGAGCCAAACATTTCAAGTGCTACTCAACTGGCTTTAGATAAGCCAGTCCTTTGTTAGTATATAAGTGCTTTGTTAATAATTCTATCGCTCGAAGTGGAGTCGAAAGAGATGAGTTTTCAGTCTGAAGAAGATGTGTAAGCTTTCTGCTGTCCTGATGTCAATGGGGAGCTCATTCCACCATTTTGGAGCCAGGATAGCAAACCCACGTGTTTTTGCTGATGGGAACTTGGGTCCCCCTCGCAGTGCGGGTGCAGCGAGCTGTTTGGCTGATGTATGAAAACTATGTTAGAACTGGTTTATAAACGGATCTTAACGATTATTAAAGTGTTTACAACCTAATTAATAACCTAATTATAAACCCTTTATGAATCCTTTATAAGGGTAGTCTTATTGTAAAGTGGTACCAATATAATTCTCTGATCTCTTCTTCCCCACTAACCCGTCTGATCCCTCAGGTTGAGCGGCGGGTTGTCAACCAGTTAGCCGCGGCGTACGAGCAGGAGCTGCTGCCCAAAGGCTGCACGCTGCGTCTCACCGTCCAATCAGAGGACCAGGAGGATCTGAGCACGCCCAGCTTGCGCCTGGAGGTGGTCGGAGAGGACAGCACATCGAGAACGCTGGACATCCGTCCGCCGCTCAGCCCTGAACACTAACACAGACACACAGAGAGTCTATCCAGATATTTATGCACACATGTACACTTTCCACACTCACAGCATCATCATAGTGTCAGGAGCATGGATAGTTCTTGATGGATGTTACCAATAAAAGTACCTCTGATAAACACATCACTGCCTCTCTGTTTCAGTACACACATGCAGTAATCACATGCCAACTTTTCGCAATATCGCAGTATAATATCTGCCAACTATGTGTGCTGTAAGCAGTATATAAAGTCATCCTACGTGACCATTAAAGTGTATCATATAACAGACTTTCATATCAGCTGGGTGCTGATATCCAGAGCTGTGCACACAGTTGTTGGATATCAAATCTAAGTGCAGGGTGAGTAAATGTTGCAGGCTGTAAACGAAGCAAAGAGGCTTCAGTGCCATCAAACATCCCATCAGTGGAGGGAAGCCATTATATAAGCTAAACTAGACTTCATATCATTACGTATGTAGTAGCCTATTGTTAATGAACCTAGCTGTGACGTAGTGATGAAGTTAATGTCCACTTTATAGTGTAGAGCACTGAAAACAGCCAAATTATTGAATATTTATTAAAAGCTATATTTAAGTTAATGGAAATGAACAGTGGCATGCCCCACATTAAAAGGCTGAGTGGTAGATTTGTTGTTGCATGATTTAGCAGAAAAAAATATCAAATGGGGAAAATCCTAACAGATCTGTTGACAAATAGCAACACTTAAATTCCTTTAATACGTACAAAATGATGTGTGGATGAATAACATCTACGAGTTGTCCGTTTGCTTTGAAGGAAAGGAACATTTTAATGACCAGAGAGAGTTTGGCACTGCGTCAGATTGTTGCCTGTGTTCACTTAAATGTTCACTTCATTTAGAAAATCCTCACCAGAAGAGCTTCACTGATAAATGTTTGCAAACACGACTTGCTAATTCATTTGTGTTTAATATGTTAGTGGAGAAATACCAAGCAGAAATGTATAGCAGCCCGTTTGAATGATGGGTAATAAAACTGCCTTGTGAATTGTTTCTGTTGATGCATGTGAATGTAAAGAAGTCTCTTCTGTCACGACGAAGTGCTCCATGCTGTACACTGACATTAAGAGAAATGTAGAGACATAAAGAAATAATATTCAAAGTGTTGTTTCATAAATGTTTTAGCAGCATCTCGACAAGGCGCCAAATGTAATGGAGTGACATTTTTCATTCTTGTATCCCAACCTCCACCGTGTAAATAAAGTCATCACAACAAAAAGGGGATTCCTCTTTTTTTTGTTCTGTTTGTGTAGCACTGACACTCCTGATGGATGTGTGTGTGTGTGTGTGTGTGTGTGTGTGTGTGTGTGTGTGTGTGTGTGTGTGTGTGTGTGTATCCAT